TACGTAACAAAATGTACACGTCTTGGCTAGATCCAGATTTGGTTGTGGGTGTGGATTACACCTTGGCTTCATGATGCTCTCGCAAAATCCCAGCTCCTCTTTTCTGTGTTGGGATTGGCTGTTGACGACAGTGAATGGAACTCTCATCGCGTTGCCTTGGTGAGCAGTGCAAAATAATTGAGAATAATCTATCATGTAGAATTTTCCTCAGCCACAACTTTTTGAAGTATGCCACAGTCTGCCTAACTCATACATTTGGCCTAGGATTTCTGGATTCTTCTTCCTTTTGATTTCAGTTGCTTAGCACAACAACAACAACAACCGCCATTAGCCACTAAGTGGCGGTGACGTTACCTCGGTGCTTGTGCCAGGCTATGTGCATGTTAAGGCCATGTGAAGATCACGGGACAGAACCAGATGCCATGGGTTGACTGACTGAGATGACTGACCGATGCACCACCTGTGCCCCCTACTGTGCCAACTTGCTGTGCTTTAGCCACCCGGCGCTCCGCTCATTGTTGGGAGCGTCACTCTTCTTTCCTCCATTATTGCTAGAGGGCAACTGCCTCCAAATGCTCAGTAGCATGCTTCACGAGCCTCCTCTACAGAGGCCGATCTTGGCACCGCTGGTACCAGTCATCGGCAAGTCCACTCAGCTCCACATCCTCCTGTACCACATCACTCCATCTCTTCTCAAGCCCGTTTAGCCCCTTCTATTCAGCCGAACAAAATTTGTTTAGGCTAGCGGTGACTAGACATGCGGGCTACATGACCCAGCCAATGCAGCCTTGCCTGCCAGAGGGGCTCACCGATGGGACTTTGTCCACATCTTTCAAGGATTTGTGAGCTCCTCACACAATCCACCTTGGTTAAACCAAGGATGGATCGTAGGAACGTCAGCCTAATTGTCACATGTAAGATATAATAGGTTTCACGTATTGAGCAAGGTTGTAAGAAGATGATGGGAGAGAATTCCAAAGTGGAGCATTGCGAAGAAAGAAGCAGAAAGAGAGGTGTTATAACTTGCATGGTGGTGATTGAACACAGTATGGATGACAAAATGTAGATTTGGGAGATTCTTAATTGTGAGCTTTTGGTCTAACCAGGTCCTCTGTTTTGATGCAAATACTAATTTAGTTGATTCAACTCTTTATGTGATAACTAGGTTGTTGGGGGGAGCCTATGGCACTCTCACTCACCCGTCTCCTCACTCTCACTCACCCTTCTCCTCACTCACTTGTATAGGCCTTTTTCCAAAATTGATATGAATAATGATTTTGCTGTCTTGTCACTCTCGTAAGGATAATGACACCCTCCCCTCCCACCAACGGAAAGGGTCAGTCATAAAGTCAAATAAAAAAAGAACACACACACGCCCTCCCCCGCGAAGGAAGGGGCCAGGCCTTGAGGAGACATCATCACCATAAACCATAGAACAAACACACATCAGACGAAAAACGGGCAGACAAATTTTAATTAACAGAAGGACAAAAAAAACAGACTACAATCCACATAGCGGGTCACACATAATATTAATGCTAACGTTATTCACCTTAAATTATATTACATCTTGCCGTTACATGACCTTACAAAAACCAAGCAATATGAATTCCAACAGTCAAGAAACTTACCTCTAAAACTCAAGACAAAAAAATTTAAGTAAATAATAACTCAAGCATAACAGCACCGATCCCCGGATACAGACGGGGCGACGAAAATTAATAAACCCTAGGAAGTGCATCGTGATGACGGTGTTAAATCACAAATCTTGGGAAACATCAACCAAATAATATTTGTGCAGTGTTGAACCGAGGGTTGTCCAGAAGAGATGCGGCGAAATGGGTTGGGCTTACACAGCCAAGATAGACTGTGTTCCATAGGAAAGGAGCCTCCCGGCCGTCTTTGTCTTTCCGCAGCACGGGATAGCAAAGAATGTAACACCAGAGCGAGGGAAATTACTCTTTATTGCAGGGGCCATCTGTGCATCCACGGATGAAAAGATGACTTGATGAATGACACACACACGGACACACGACCCCCCCTCCCCCCCCCACAACGCAAAGCGAGATCAAAGAATGTTCCGGTCCTTTGTGAAAGAACATGACAGAGTAAGCATCTGTTTATTTTCCCTCTCGCAAGAGACGCGGAGAGGGAAGATTTTTTTGTATATAAACAGCAACACAGCTCAACAATTCAGCTCAACAAGGGACAGCTCGGCGAGCGACAGAAGAGGGCGGAAATCGGCAGGCTCCGGGGTGGGCCCCACAATCAACCGAGGATGGCAAGGCTTGCAGAGTAGCGATGTGTCACCGAGTGTGAGTTCAGAGCTGAAAGACGAAGTCTACCTCGAGTGCCAGCTCCCAGCAGCAGCTGCAGCTTGAGAGAAAGAGTGACGAGCAACAAAAGCAATCGTCCACCGCGGGAGAGCACGCAGCCGGCGCAACCGGCGCAACCAGTGCAACCGGCGCAACCAACGCAACCGGCGCAACCAGCACAACCGGGCAACCAGCGCAACCGGCGCAACCAGCGCAACCGGCGCAACCAGCGCAACCAAGCAAGGGTGCCAGCTGCCAGCGGACAAGCGTTGTGCCGACTCGGCTCATCCAGCAGGGGAAAGAGCCTGACCAGCCGCCCGTGAGCAAGAGTGTCAGCGGACCAGTGGCGAGCGCGTTCGAGCATCTTCAAGGAGAGGGCATCATGCCGACGCAGCCCCTCCAGCAGTGGAAAGAGCCTGTATCTGCCAGCCGACCCCCCAAGCAAGAGCGAGAACGAAGCAGTTTGTATGACCCTCCCCCACACTCACACCCTCACGACGCATCACCCGGCGTCTGCTTTACGAAGACACACAACACGCATATCGGGACAAATCAAGAAGGGTTGCCATTCCCAGGTGGTGCATTGAATATCAACTGATCCTGAAGAACATTGCTGCCCATTGAGTTACGTGGATACGGTCATTTAGACGTATTTTAGTAGTTCGTTTTTTTCACTTTTTAATTGCATAATCTTGCCGACGAATCTATTGACGTATATTTTTCCCTTTGGGGTATAATAATTGCTTTTATTGCTTTTCGTATGAATAACGTCGCATTAATTTTTAAGGACTTTTTATTGCTATTTGCTGTATAAGCTCGTGTTACGCGGTGGAATTAATCATATGTGCGGTTGCCAAAGTGAAACAACGCAACCATTGATGGTTAAATGTACTGCTCACTGAAGGAAAATTCCCCGATGGTACCAGGGGTAATTCCAAGCATGAGAATCGCATATTAGAGTGTTAAGGTTTTGTTTAGAAATTAAAATTGCTTAACACAGAAGTCTCTGAGTGTTTCTTTCCTGAGTTCATGCATAATAATCTTAATTATAAGAACTGTATCCTGCGGTGAGATTTGAATTTGGAGACCTGACATAACACACTAAAACAATCAGTAAATGTTAAAGCGAGAATAATTGTATTATACCGATTGATAATACTACCCTCGTCAGCGAGGCGGGGCCTAATTATCATAACGGCTCACATTAACATAATCACATACATCCGCATGAACTAATACGATTATCTCTCGAATTAGCATAATTTATGCTCATCATTACCGTAATTAACATAATTTCGGATAATTACGCATTTTTCTTAAATTCATATAATTTGTATTATTTTCATCAAATTTTCAATACCCGGCATATACAACACACTCATCCGTCTCTTGCTTGCGGTCACGTGACGCACTTCAACCAATCCGGGGGCGTAAATGTTTTAATGTATCTCATAACCTCTGGTTGGCTGCTTGCTCGCGGTCACGTGACACACTTCAACCAATCCGTGCCGCGTTAATCACAGTCACAGAGTGACAGAATGACAGAGCTGGGTGTTTATGCTCTATTGAAACATTTGTGTGCAGCTCTCTGCCTCTCTGCTTTCTGCAACGTTTGGCAAGGAAGTATGCTTCTGGATGTAGACGTGTCTCTAAGTGGTTTATTTTTGACCACACAGCTCTAAGATTTGCATTGTAGATTGGATATTTATTTGTTTAATATTCAGTGGCGTTTTACTTATAATTGTCAATGGACAATGCTCATGAGATACATGCGACTGAAACATTGTATTTGCCCGATTGAGAACACTAATTAACATATGTTGATATATTGCAGCTTTGGTGGAGAAGACTTACATCATAAAGATGCACACAGGAGATGTGTTACATGCTGGAACAGATTCTCGTGTTTTCATTTTTATAAGTGGAAGCAAACGTATCTTGGAAACTGAGCTTTTCAACTCATCATGTAGCTGTTTTGAACGAAATCAGGTATGTTTATAAACCGTAATTTCAAACATCGCATATATAATTCATACCCTAGTCTTATATTATCTGTATTTAGTATTGCAGTTTGACTTTGAAAGAAAATGACACGTGTTAATGTGTTCCAGATTGATTTCTTCACGATAAAAACTAAAGATCTTGGATGCATAACGGAATTTAATGTATCTCATAACCAACAAGGACTGGGTTCCGATTGGTACCTTGACACAATTGATGTTTACGAGGGACACAATCATTACGACTTTGAATGCAAAGAATGGATCGATGGCTCAAGAAAAATTAGACTCCGCTTAAAGGTAACAGCACATACAATAATGGATGTGATCAGATGTGATGGAAGGGCCATTCAAACCTGGTGGAGTGCTCCATCCTGGGCTTATTGAATGGAGAACGCATGGCGCTCTGCAAGGCTCGCATTGAAAAGGAGGAGGGCGCTACAGTTAAAACAAAAACACAGATAACTCAAAACATCTAATTAGGCTATAAAGCCGATGTTATTTATTAACTTCATACTGTAGAATGGGGGTGAATATGTCAAACAAGTAGTCTCTTTGTAATGTTTCTGAAAGTTATCGGATTCACGTGTTTACGGTGTTGATTTGAAGCTTTCGTGACTGCAGGAATCCATACTCTTTGGGTCTATCGGTAAAGTTACGTAGGTAGAAAAATAATAGATCACGACGTTTCGGACGCAACACAATCGTCCGTCATCAGGCCTGATGACGTGACTTTACCGAAAGACCTAAAGAGTGTGTTTACGGTCACGAGGTTCACACTGAGCCACTGATCCTTGACGAGTGAGGAGCCACTGAATTAGGAGCAGCTCGCACCTTAAATTCCTGCATTGTTTCACCTTTTTTTTGCAATCACAGACAATCCGCAACCCAATTAGCTAAGCATGTCTGTGACTGAATGGTGCTTGGATGGGCAACTATCAAGCACAAAAACGGTAGTCGGTCTTGTCGACATTAGAGCGCAGTACAGCAAAATAAATTGTTGTTCTATTCTGCCCCACATCCGCCAACTTCCATTGACTAAAGTGAAGTAGGGTCAAATAACCCTCACTGCCTGAATGGCGTGGGAAGGACCACGTTCAGCAGTGTATTGACAGACGGGCTGCACACCAACATTGCCAATAATGTTTGGATTTCAGAGTATATACGTATGACGAACTTCTTTCTCACCGCACGTAGCCAGCCGTGCTAATTGGAGGTGTAATGAACTTGGCAGACAGCGAGTAATGCTCGTGACGTTCACACGGTAGAGGAATCTAAGCTATGGCCAGTGTGAACGTTTACAGTCACGAAATTATCGACTAATTACACCACAGATAAACAATGTTAGATTTCATTTTTACAGATAATTAAATCCAACCGTGTGATTTATTGTGAAATGTATAAATGCTATATTGTATTCCATTCATAAGTAACAGATGCATGGCACATTTTTCTAAACCATACAATTGGATTTTTTTGCTTCTTGTACTTTGTAACATGTTGTAATTTTTTTAAGTTTAAATATTTCTTAGGACGCTCGTGAAGCACAAAATTGTCAAGTTTCTACAAGTGAAGGCTCCAGAGAAACAAGTTGTCTTCATGGTAAGGCGGCACGTATTGTTGACAAGAAAAAATAACACACGTTCTACTTTTAGGGTTTTTATGCAGTTCATGCTTGCCACTGTGCAATTATTATCCAAACACCAGCGTGGGTTGCTCTGTGTTGCGAATCGGGCAGGTGCAGGTCACGGAGGGCCCGCGCTGATTGGCGCACAGGCGGCTGTCATCACAGCTCCGCAGTGGCCGCATTTTATGGTGGGGGAGCGGGTTCCTGCGTCGCTGTTTCCTGCGAATCCGAATTGATCCGGAAGAGATACCACTTTGAAAAGAGGTCCATAAATTTAGAGTCGTCATTGATTTGGAATAGGAACGATAGAAGCTCTCACTATAAATGCCATTCCCATGCTATTGAAATGTCAGAATCAATTGAATGGAATCGATTCAAAGCCACTCCAGCTTCGGGATTTTAGTTTAGGGGGTGATTCGGACCACTGGGGGTGATTCGGATGAATACAATTTATGGATCAAGTAAATAGCTAGGGGTCAGACGGCTATCCCCAATGGAGTGGATAGGCAGGGAGAAGGTGCGAGCCGTGCGTCAGGATGTGGCACTGCAAATGAGTCAATGACCGATGAGAAAAGTAAGGACTTGAGTGTAAATCTGAAGAGGAGAGGATGGAAACAGCAGTTGAGACAACCAGAGGGAGAGAATGCGAAACAGCAACAGAGTAGGATGAGTGAACTCCCTCACTATGGAGGATGACTTTGAGCGTGGAGAGGTAGGCACACACAGCAAGACCATTCAGTTTAAAACTGAGGTCAAAGTTGTAACATATCTTGGATTAGAAGACAGTTGAAGGGATTTTGTTATGCGAGATCTGTTTTTTGGGTCAGAAGTCTGGCGGTAAAATTTAGATTACCTCGAGTTTTGCTGTGAGGGATTTAAAAAGGCCATGCAGAAGAATGTTCCAGTAGTCAATCTGAAACATGATTCGAAGCTTTCGTGACCGCAGGAATTACTCTTTGGTTCTTTCGGTAGAGTCACGTAGAAAATAAAATAATAATAGAATACGACGTTTCGGTTGCAACAAAAGCAACAATCATCAGGTAAGAATTAATGATAAAATGCAGACACGAGAACAGCATAGGCAGACACACATGCAGAGAGAGACACACACCAAGACAAACAAAAGGACAACGAATCTGTGCCGAGGCCTTAAATAGAGAGAGGGGGAAGGGGCTAGGGCAGAGAGAGGACTGGGGAGGCGGAGAAACGAGGGGACAAAGAGGGAGCAGTGTGGAATTCCGGACCACAGTGGCCGGAGGAGAGACAATTGTTTAGAGCAAGAAAATCGAAAGTTTGAGAAAGCAAATTTAGTAAAATTAAGAAGTGTAATGCAATGCAACCCAGAGGGTCGGCTAACACACAGTTAACGCATAACCTGGTTGATTCATGTTCTTCCAAAGATTGCTAAATTAAAAGTAAAGTGTGATGAAACACAGACACAGAAACAGCATAGGCAGACCCACTTCTAAATGGAATAAATGATTATAACAAGCAAATCCAATAACCTGATATTTAAATGGGAACAAACATTTAACATTTTTTGTTAACAGGAGGCCTTATGGAAGTTTGTACCTGCATGTTTTTAAGGATGCTCAATACAAATGAACAACATAAAAAAGTTTGACATTAAATCGGACAGAAAGTGGGCATACATGCATTCAACAATCGCCGGAATTTTGCCACTAAGTGGCGGTGATGTCACCAGGATTGCAGTGCAAAGCAAGGTGTACTTTGAGGTCACATGGAATGCTGAAGGCTCACTGGCATGTGGTCACGGGACAGACCCATGAATTATCGGATCATTAACTGAGATCACTGGTAGATGCACTGCTATGCTCCTCACTGTGCCACCTCACCGTATTTTATTCACACAGCACTCTTCTCATTGTTGTGAGCGAAGTTCCTCCTCCCTCCATTCGTGATGGAGGGCGATTCTCTCCAATTGCCCAATCGCATCCTTCACAAGCCTTGTTCAGAGGTCGATCTAGACACCAAACATTCTCAGTAAGTTCACATAGTTAAATTCGTTCCTTACCACCTCAGGCCAGCTTTTCTCAAACCCATGTCATGCCCTTGTAGCCCCCTCTAGACAGCCAAATAGATCCTGCTTGAGAAAACAGTAGCTGGGTATGTGAACTTCATGACTCAGCCATTGCTTCCTGGTCTGTCAGAGGAGGCAACGAATGGGACTGTGTCCAGAGCTTTCAACAATGTGAGATTCTTAAACTATCCATCATGGTTAATCCAAAAGATGCATTTCAGGCAGACCAGTCTGCAAAAAAACCCCTGTAATTATATTACAAAGATAACCTTTGTAACATGCAAGTGCTTAACTCGTCTGCATGTTTACATTACACGTTGTAGGATACAGTATGTCTTACTGTTGCTATTTCTCATCAGGCATGGTGTACATGAAGGCTTTGTGTGACAAATTAGCAATCCAAAATGGAACAGTTGAAACGTTTACATCTCCTTCTTCTATGAGACCAATGGACGAGCTGTTAAGCTCAACGCTTCCCAGTGAACACGAGACTCCAAATGTGCTGGTCCTAGCCACCACAGGAGCGGTGGTCTTCTTAGCTGTATTGGTGGTGGGTGTTGCAGGCGTGTTCTGTCATTTAAAAAAAAGACGTGCTTTGAAAAGTAAGTTCTGCTTCTCATTATTAGTTTTTTTTTGCCTTCATTCGTGCCACATTTCCTGTCATGTGAGTGAGTGTATTTGTCTTTGTAAAGTTATTCATGAGACATGTACAGGAGAACTCCTCTTATCCGACCTGATATCATAATCAGAATCTTTATTTAGTCTGCGGGAGGAATCCGATGAGCTATACATCTCTTATTCACATATGTCCAGCAGGGGCGGGCCAGACAGTTACAACAACAAACAATAAAAAAACTGCCTCGATTGCAAAGTATAGGGAAAATAACTATTGCTACACGGGTAAGGATCAAAGTCACAAATGACATTGGCAAATGTCGTTGTATCCAGCACTCATCTTCTGCTTCAGTATATTTTTGAAGGAAGATTTACGATGTTAAGGGAGGAAACGAGGTTGTTCCTAAACGTGGTGCTGCAACGGGAAAGGCTTTGTCTACATATTATAATCTCATTCTTGGGATAGTTAAAAAGCAAGTTTGACAATGGGTTTAATGAATGAAATAAGTAAAACACATATTTGCCAATAAGGATTATATGGATGAACAGGGCTCAATGTAGATTTCGTCTTGCATCAAGTGATGTGAGATTGGATTTTAAGTAGAGGTCACAATGGTGTGTCCTGTATGGTACATCAAGTGCAAATCGAACAGTAGAATGATGAAGGGAGTTCAGTCTGTTTAGTGATTTATTAGTAGCTGATCTGTAGGCAGCATCACAGTAGTCAAAAGTAGGAAAATGATAGCTTCATTAATTTGCAGGCACAATTGAATGGAAAAAAATGTTGTTTCTGTATAAAAGCCCTGTTTTTTTATTAGATTTTCTTTGAGCTGTGATCAATATAGGGTTGAAATGTAAATTGTGAATCAATCAGTAAGCCAAAGTTTTTGAAGCACTTTGTTTGTTCAATGATGTTGATACTCTTTGGTTCTTTCGGTAAAGTCACGTAGGTATAAAATAAAATAAACCACGACGTTTCGGGCGCAACACAAGCATCCATCATCAGGTGGGAAAGCATGGTCTGCTGCTGAGGCAGACTGTTCTAAAAGGTTTGAAATGGGTGTAGCCCAAGGGTCCTAAAGAAGTGGCCGGGGCTAGTGATGTTAATGTGAGAAATTATCATGTAACTGTAAGATAGAAGAGCGGCCTGCTAAACGAGGGCATGGAAGTGGCTATGTTAATGTGAGGGATTAGCATTATGTTAATGTGAGAAATTAGCATTTAACTGTAGAAAAGAAGGAGAAGAAGAGCGGCCTCCTTGACGAGGGAGTGCAACTCAACGGGTGTAATCCGAAGGGCCTGTGAGTATGAGAGTGCAATCCAAAAGACATGAGCATGAGAGTGCAATCCAAAGGCATGAGAGTGCAATGCAACGGACATGTGAGCATAAGAGATCTAAGAGAGAGGCATAGAGAGAGAGAGAGAGACAGACATTCGAAATAACAGCTGACGTATGCAGGTTGGATGGAAACATCACAGTCAGTTAAGACTTTACCTGGTTAATAACGTCCTTCTAATGATTGCTCAGTTTGTACCCATCCTCTCAATTGAAGTTGTGTCTGTGTTTATACTGTATATCTGGATGGCTTCATGAACAAATCTGAAGGTAGCCGGTAGGTTTGCAAAGTACCTCCGTCTTGGAAAAATAAATTTTGTGTGAGCCCACAGCGTTAAAACAATGATCGGCAACGGCAGAAGTATTGGTCCTACCGTGTTTCAGATCTGCCTTGTGTTCATGGATGCGGTTCGACACATGTCGTTTCGTTTCCCCAATGTAACTGCATCCGCAACCACAGCTCAGTTTGTAGACACCAGGGTACTGCATGTCAGGAATCACATATTTTACAGATGTGATTAAATCACGGATTTGTGTACTACATTGAAACGAACCTGGATCTTGTGTTTGTTTAAGATATTGGAAATCTTTTTGGTAACCCTTGCTATGTACGGTAAAGTGATGGTTTTGGTTGGATCCTCAGAAGGTTGTTTCCGCATGGCTGGGGAGACAGCTTTGCGGATTGTACGGTCCGAGTATCCGTTCAACCTGAGGGATTGGTGTACGTGCTCCAACTCAATGGCGAGGTGGTGCTGGTCGGAGATGCAACGGGCCCTATGGTGTAGTGTTTTGATGAGATAATTATTCTGGGCTGGATGGTGGTAGGAGTCAGGCTTTAGATAGGCATCCGTGTGGGTGGCTTTCCTGTAGACCGAATGTCCCAACGAGCCATCAGGTCTCTTCTTGATTAAAACATCCAGGAATGGTAGCTTGCCATCCTTTTCCACTTCCATGGTGAATTTGATAGGTGGGTGTATGGAATTGATGTGGTTAAGAAATTGGTTCAGTACTGGCAGGCCATGTGGCCAGATGACAAACGTGTCATCTACATATCTCTTCCACAAGGAAGGACATAGGGTGGATGTCTGGGTGGCATCTGTCTCAAATTTTTCCATGAAAACATTCGCTACCACTGGCGATAAGGGAGAACCCATTGGAATACCCTCATTTTGTCTGTAGAATGTACCATTCCAGGTGAAGTATGTTTGGTAAGACAGTGCCTTACCAAAGTCGGTACATCTGGACTCAGTCCTTGTTGGACAGAGAGCCAAGCAAATCATCCAGAGACAGTGAGATGTCCTTGATTAGAGAAACCAAGTGAGCTGAGTCAAGTACATCTGAGGTGGACTTGCCAGTAAAAGGAACCAGTCTCAGACACAAATCGGGACAGTTTGTAGGTGGGTGAGTTAATTGTGGAGACGATAGGACGGAGCAAGGTACCTACTTTGTGGATTTTTGGAAGGCCATAAAATCTGGGTGGTCTAGCAGCCGAAGGTTTTAGGGAGCTCTGCTCCCTAAAACACTACACCATAGGGGCCGTTGCATCTCCGACCAACACCACCTCGCCATTGAGTTGGAGCACGTACACCAAGCCCTCAGGATGAACGGATACTTGGACCGTACAATCCGCAAAGCTGTCTCCCCAGCCATGCAGAGACAACCTTCTGAGGATACAACCAAAACCATCACTTTACCGTACATAGCAAGGGTTACCAAAAAGATTTCCAAAATCTTAAACAAACATAAGATCAAGGTTCGTTTCAATATAGTACACAAAATCAGTGATTTAATCCCATCTGTAAAATATGTGATACCTGACATGCAATACCCTGGTGTCTACAAACTGAGCTGTGGTTGCGAACGCAGTTACATTGGGGAAATGAAACGACATGTGACGGACCGCGTCCGTGAACACAAGGCAGATCTGAAACACGGTAGGACCAATACCTCTGCCGTTGCCGATCATTGTTTTAACGCTGTGGGCTCACAAGAAATTTATTTTTCCAAGACGGAGGTACTTTGCAAACCTACCGGCTACCTTCAGATTTGTTCATGAAGCCATCCAGATATATAAACACAGACACAACTTCAACCGAGAGGATGGGTACAAACTGAGCAATCATTGGAAGGGCGTTATTCACCAGGTAAAGTCTTAACTGACTGTGATGTTTCCATCCAACCTGCATACGTCCGCTGTTATTTCGACTCTCTGTCTCTCTCTCTATGCCTCTCTTAGATCTCTCATGCTCACATGTCCGTTGCATTACACTCTCATACTCACAGGCCCTTCGGATTACACCCGTTGGGTTGCACTCCCTCGTCGAGGAGGCTGCTCTTCTTCTTTTCTACAGTTACATGCTAATTTCTTACATTGACATCATGCTAATCCCTCACATTAACATAGCCACTTCCGTGCCCTCGTCTCAGAGGCCGCTCTCCTAGCTTACTTTAACAATTTAATTTCTCACGTTAACATTATGCTAATCCCTCACATTAACATAGCCACTTCCATGCCCTCGTTTAGGAGGCCGCTCTTCTATCTTACAGTTACATGCTAATTTCTCACATTAACATCACTAGCCCCGGCCACTTCTTTATAACCCTTGAGCTACACCCATTTCACACCTTTTAGAACAGTCTGACTCAGCAGCAGACCATGCTTTCCCACCTGCTGCTGGACGCTTGTGTTGCGCCCGAAACGTGATTTATTTCATTTTATACCTACGTGACTTGAAAGAAAGGAAACAAACAGTATGGATTCCTGCAGTCACGAAAGCTTCAAATCAAAAAAGATGTTGATGTTGAATTAAGTCGAAATCATGTTAGAGATTCTATTTTACTTCGTTTGGAAATGTAAGTTTAGTCCAAGGTTGTTTAAATATGAGAACAGAAATGGACCCAGCACGAAACACCGTTCATTATTTCAATATTTCCAGACGAGATTGTATCACTTTGTACCTCTTGAGTATGGTCTGTGAGGGAGCGCTTTAAA